TGTGTGATGTACTGATGTGGATCAAAGAATCTAGGGGGCATGGGGAGTAAGTGTCCTCGCTTCCGATTCTCAAATTTAGCATTATTACTTAAAGATAAAAATTGTGCCCCTAACTAGACAAAAAACTAATAAATATAGGGATAAATTCACCTAAAGGCATAGCAAAAAAATCTAATGCAAAATAAAAAACGGCGCAAAGATCATTCATTTTTAATCTAAACTATGTCTTTCTTTAAAAAAACAACTATTATTGTTTAGAATTGTCTTAATGAGTTCAAAACTAGACCTATAATAATCCATAAATGTTCATTGCTTGAAACAGCTATTGAATAATCTATTTCTGATTAAAAGTAATACTCCGTAATATGCATGAACTAGACAAAATAGATCAATGATACACCTGATTCAACCCGACCCGGTCCGGCCCGAAAAGTGTCCCGCTTTATAAAACTTGTGAGTTCGTCACGGTAAAAGTGTAATCAGATACAGTCAAGGAAATCGGGTGTAACTTCATTAATAAGAATTGTAAAGCTGCATATTACCCTATCTTCAATTAAATTGTACGAGATTGTATTATACTCGTACTCGTATATGTAAAACAGTAAAGGTCAAACTATATATTACTGATACCTGTTACGCCGACATGTGTATCTTTTATGTATGCTAGATCCTTAACAGCATTCCCTTTATTAATTAACTTTGAAATATATATTTCATCACCATTGGTATAATAAAAAATAATAAAAAATAAAGCATGTACTTTATGTGAAAGAAACTTGGTCCAAAGAGGTGGAATCTCCCACCAAGGAGCCCCTACTCCGACCCGACAGGATGGTGGGGAGGTTAATCACGCTGACTCAGTCAGCAAAGCGGTGCTAGACCTTATACACGTGCGCACCAGAGGTCCAGCCTTATTTCAGGTTCTGTAACCTCCACACGGCCGCTGTGAGTTTCGAACCTTGATCACTTGGTCCAATTTTCTCACCACTCGACCAACTGAGCTAGCCGTGCGGGTTATGTGAAAGAAACTTCTTTTTACATATGGAGTATTATATACGTAGTATTACTAAAATCTCACAGTTTGTGATTTTATTTTTCATTTCAAATTTTCAATCTGAGTTAGACATTTGTTATCCAAACTGGTATGGAGTATGTACGAGCAGGGCTAATTAGCGAAGCACAACCAGCAGATTACATATATAGATAATCTTTAATATTGTTGTACAAACTTATTAATTAGTATGTTCCTAAATATTTTACCTTTAATTTACACTACGTATGCCCATGAATTGAAATGGATGATAAGTAACTTAATTATATTTAGGGCACTTGAAGTCTATTTGCATTGGGATGATTTCCCAAGTATTGAAATGTTCCACGTTGCAATTCAATTATGGAAGGTGTTGGGGCAATTATTGATTTCGAATACTTTTTTTTTCGTTGAAAATTAAACTTGAAAATGGGTAACCTTGAATATATATAATAGAATGAGCCCTACCCGCACGGATAGCTCAGTTGGTTCAGTGGTGAGAAATTTGGACCAAGTGACTAAGGTTCAAAACACGCAGCGGCCGTGTGAAGGTCACAGAACCTGAAATAAGGCTAGGCCTATGGTGCGCACGGGAAAAAGGCCTACCATCATTGGGCCGACTGAGTCACCGTGATTAACATCCTTCCAAAAATCCTGTCGGATCGGGGTATGGGGGGCTCCTGGAGTGGGAGATTCCACCTTTTGGACAAATAGAATGTGCCGTCAGTTTATCTCAAGATGTGAGCCTAATTAGAAGTATTGATTTGGTGATAATCATTAGCCTAGTAATTATTTTGGTAGATTCTATGATGCCTATCATACTTTTGTCCAACCAATGAGAATGTTGCAGTTGAATTATTTAAATCTAAATAAAAAATGATATAATGATGTGGACCAATCAAGTGAATGATAGGTACGATACCCAATTTTTTAAATGGGTATAGGAGTTGTAACCAATTATTTTTGTATGCAAAGACGGCAAAAATGTGGCTAGTTTTCACGTTTCTAAAAATGTCACTAATCTAATTTGTTTGCTCAATCTACTTTTTTTTACTTTTAATTCCTTTCCAACTACCCACACTATAGTTTATGGCCGTGGTGACACCAATGATGACAAAAATGACACTGGCGGACTGGCGGTCACTGACTCACTAATAGTGACATAAAATGGATGGTGATATCATGTTTTTCAGATTATAAGGTACTCTCTCCGTCCCGGAATTATATTCATTCTTTCTTTTTTGGTCCGTCCCAAATTTATCTCCTCTTTCTTTTTTTGGCAAAGAATTTGTGGTTCACAACCATTCTTACACTTTCTCTTTCCTCTGCACAACTCTCCACCACACATTTCCCACTATCTTAAAACTCGTGCCCAATCAAATAAGGAGATAATTCCGGGACGGAGGTAGTATTTTATAGGAAAGGTGGACAAATAATACTCCCTCCGTCCCGTTGGAATGTTCCCGGTTTGACCTACACACATATTAAGGAAATAAACTTACCAGGGGGTAAATTTTACTGTTTTGACACTGTTTCGACACTGTTTAACACTGTTTTGCATTGTTTGGTCCTGTTTTTATGTAGGATAACTTTTCATTTAGGGAAATGGGAACTTTCCAACAGGACATCCAAAAAAATAAAGCGGGAACATTCCAACGGGACGGAGGGAGTAATAAAAATCTCCCTGAATATGTGACAATTAAAGCTGTGGAGGGATCAGAGATTCGGAGTGCTAGATTAAAGTTGATTTTCAAAGAAAAAGTGATCATTTTTTTGTGATATAGAAACTTTATTTATAATAATATAAAGGGGTACAAGTTGAAAAAAAAATGTCTTTGTTTTTCAAGTGACCAGTTTCATATATGGACAAAAATGCGAATATCAAGATTATAAATTTGAAAACGTGTAATGTAATTATTAGTTTTTATGTCACTGCATTTTTCTATTACTACGCTGGAGAAGGTAGTGAAACAAGGGATGCGACGGAAATGAGTCATTAGGTAGAAATTAGAATTAAAAGAAAAGTGTATTAATTAAACAAAGGTTAATCACATTTTCGAAAAAATAACAAGTTATATTTTGATCTTCCAAAAGTATAAAAGTAGTATAGTAATATTGTCATTTTTCTACTCTTACTTTTTCTCCTACATTTTCATTATTTTTCTCGTGTTAATACGAGTATTTTTCTTTTTCCTACTTTTTCATTTTTCCTACACTCTCTATATTATCCTTTCTAACTCCGCCATGATATCATTTTTTTGGTATCATGTCTGTCCCAAGCCAGGATAAAGGAGGAGGGTGATGTGGTAGGCGTGTGACGACCAACAGTATCATCTAGTCACATCACATGACATGAATCGAAATATGAATATCGCTAATGCTAGGTCGTCACCTGTAAGTGACGCGTCATCCCTCCGCCTGGGGGTGGTGTCAAATATGCAAGGGCGCACTACACTTCATAGACCTGGGTGTGGTGATAAGAATGCTAAGATTGCTAGGTCGCCGCCCGGAAGCGGCGCGTCATCCCATTGCCCGAGGATGATGTCAAATATGCAAGGGCATAGTGGGGTCCGAGATGGGGCTAAGAACAGAAGGTGGAGTGCTTGATTGCGGTTTGGGACATGGAATGTTGGGTCTCTTACAGGCAGATCTTCCGAGGTAGTCTAGGTTATGAGGAGAATGAATATCAGCATTATGTGTGTGCAAGAAACTAAATAGGTTGGAGAGAAAGCACGCGAGATTAATCCTGGAGATTTTAAGTTGTGGTATTCGGGGAGAGATAAGACCAGAAATGGGGTAGGCATTATTGTGGCGCGTGAATATGTTGAGGATGTGGTTGAAGTCTTCAGGAAGAACGATCGCATCATGAGCATTAAATTGGTGATAAGGGGTGAGATTGTGTCTGTGGTAAGTGCATATGCACCACAAGTGGGATTGGATGCATCTACAACCCAACCGTTCTGGGAAGATCTTGAAGACGTGGTGCGACGAGTACCAAGGGGAGAGAAGTTGATCATAGGAGGTGACCTCAACGGGCATGTGGGCTCGAGTCGTGATGGCTTTGAGAGTATTCATGGCGGACATGGTTTTTGCATTAGGAATGAGGCGGGAAAGAACATTTTGGATTTTGCCTTGACGTATGAGTTGGCTATAATGAACATTTGGTTTAACAAAAGAGACTCTCACCTTGTAACCTATAAAAGTGAAGCTAATAGTACCCAAATTGACTACTTCTTAGTATGGACCACTTGGAGAACTAGTTACACTGATTGTAAGGTTATTCCAGGTGAGAGTGTTGTCACTCTGCATAGGATGCTTGTGCTCGACTTTCGAGGTAAGAACCATAGAAGACAAGTTAAACAACAAGTGGAGCCAAAGATAAAGTGGTGGAGGCTTGAGGGAGATCTTCAACAAAACTTTACACATAAAATGGTCGGTGAAGATGTATGGCGTATTGATAATGAAACACATGCGGATGATGTGTGGTTATCAATGAAGTTGACCATTAACAAAGTGGCAAAAGAGGTACTTGGAGAATCTAAAGGATGTCTGCCACCTAAAAAGGACACATCTTGGTGGAATGATGAGGTGAAACAAGCCATAAGGAACAAAATAGATTGCTACAAAAAGTTGGGGACAAGTTGGAGTGATGAGAACATAGAAGCATACAAGGAGGCTAAAAGACAAGCAAAGAAAGTCGTAAGGGAAGCACGAGGGAAAGTGAACAAGGAGTTGTATGAAAAGTTGGACTCTAAGGAAGGAGAACTAGATATTTATAGACTTGCTCGTCTTCGTGATCGCAGGACTCAAGATATTGCAACAGTTAAGTGTGTGAAGGATGTCGATCAGAGGATATTAATGGACGACGGAGAGATAAAAGAGAGGTGGAGGTCATACTTTGATACACTATTCGACGGGAACAAAACGCAAAATATCGGTGATTTGTCCATACCAGATTGTATGGTAAATCGTGATTTTGTGAGACGGATCCAAACAACGGAAGTTAAAGAAACTCTGAGAAAGATGGGACAGAAGAAAACAGTGGATCTAGATGGCATACCGATCGAGGCTTGGAGAAGTTTGGGGGAGAGAGGCGTCAAGTGGTTAACAAGTTTCTTCAACATGATTTGGAGAAACAAGATGCCAACGAGTTGGAGGAAGAGTACTCTTATCTCCTTATTTAAGAATAAAGGTGATGTACAAGAATGTGTCAACTATCGAAGAATTAAGCTTATAAGTCACACTATAAAACTTTGGGAGCGAGTGATTCAGCAAAGACTTCGAAGAACTCGTATCATCTTTTTTCCTTGTTTTTTATCCTTATATATATAAGCATTATTTTTATCCTTTTATTCTATCATTTTTATGTATATTCATCTCTTTTTATATTATCTTTTAATAATAGCTTATCTTTTTTATCTTTATGTTCTTTCTTTTCTTTTTGGTGGTGATATCATGTCTCTATATTACCCTTTCTGTTTTCTTTCTTGAACCCACAAAATATCTAATAGGAGTATAGGACACGTAATTTAGAAAGGAGTGATAATATTTAAGGCAAAACTTAAGTAAATATATCAAAAGAGAAAATTAGTATACTTGTTTTTCTATATTTTTCATCTTACCCCTTACTTTATTACATTTCATATATCATTCACTACATCCATAGCTTTATTTTAAACTCCAATAAAAGTCTAGAACAACACCAAAATCAACATAATGCCATAGTCATGAAAATATTTAGATGTTTTGTGACACTTAGATTTTAGTTAGCTACGTAACTTTTTATGTCTAAAACTCATACATTGTGAGATTACCGTGCCTAGTGAGAGGTCTTGAGTTCGAAACCCGCTAGGCACGTAAAGGTTTGAAAGTCAATGTAGCGAGTTTCAACCCTGATTATTCCCCCAATCCCCTTCCCCAGACGTCCCCTGGAGTAAAAAAAAGTACAAAAAAACTCATACATTGTGTAGTACTGTAGTTATTCTCGTAGTTTTGAAAGATAGCTTGTAATGTTTTCAAGAGGGGAATGCCTTGTAGTTTTCGGAATAGATGAAGGGGGAGGAATAATTTTTGTTATAATTTAATTTTACGTTTAGAGAGCCGGAAAAAACTAAGATGGAAAGTTATACAAGTATACTGTATACACACACAGTTACACCAACTACCAAGACTTGTACATAAATGTGATTAGTTAAATCAAAATTTAACCATAAGGGCTCCAACTTTACAATTTTTGTATTTAGATACCAAAATAAATGTGAGAGATTTGTTCAAAAGCATCTGCTCCTTTTTCCAATGAGTAAATGGTACGAAGTATAAAAGCTACTAAGCTAGTGTTGCACATACAAAATTATCATCTCAAATTGTTTCCTGATGTACAAGACTCAGAGAGGATACTAATTCCTAGGTAGCATATTTACCATATCAGGTGTGACCCCTCGAAGTTAAGACCTGCGCCTAGCGAAATACTCCCTCCGTTTCACAATCTTTGACACAGTTTGACTTGTCAAGAATCAAGGAAAACATGTTACTGAGAGGTAAATTTTACTGTAGAGTACACTGTTTGGCACTGTTTGAACACTGTTTGGCACTGTTTGAACACTGTTTGGCACTGTTTGACACTGTTTTGGTAAAGATTTGTTTACCGAATAAGGAAATAAGGAAGTGTGTCATTGATTGTGAAACAGCCAAAAAAGGAAAGTGTATCAAAGATTGTGAAACGGAGGGAGTAATACTAGTCATTCCCAAATACCTGTCAATGAACTCCAAAATGCTGTTTACATTTTGTTACGGAAGAAATTTGCAGCCACTTGCAGCAAGCACACACTCTTTGAGCTTACTGCAAATTTGCAGTAAGCGCTGTTTCTTGATGTGAGTGATAGACAGGTTGCAGTGTTGCACCATGTTCTTACTCGGTGTCTTGCAACTTTGATTCCTCAAACATAAGCTGAAATTTGAGATACCAAAACCTCAAAGGAACTTAAATCAGGGCCAGCCAATATGAAATAGGCCTTCTTTGGATCCAAGCCAAGCCCCTTGTGTCCTACTCCGTAAACCGTGAATCCCTGTCAAAAGGTTCATGCATAAGCTGACAAAGACGGTAAAAAGATGTGTCACGCAGGGGGGATGTTTTGGTGCTCCGCTCCATATTCCGGCCACTTGTAGTCAGTTTGGGAGATGGTTTTTGGAGGGGAGGGGGCTAAGTGTAGACTGTAGATCATGATTTATATTCGAGAATGTATAAAAAAATAAATGAATAAAATAATGAACTGTAAAACATTAATTCGATCACACCCTTTATTTGTTTTCTAAAACGTTCTATACATCAAGATATAGATCCTCCAAATTATTCCCCTCTAACCCCTCCCCTAACTCTTTTGGGTTATGTTTGGATGTTTCTGTAAGCCGCTTCCCAAAAACCTCCATCAAAACAAACCCTTAGAGTCCCATTTGGAACCCCCGGGAAATGCCAGGGAAAGACAACAACAACATCCCAGCCTTAATCCCAAAAGAATTTGGGGAAGAAAACAGGAAAATTAGATGACAGGTTCGGAAGGAACAAAAAATTGTACGAAAAAGTGTGGAAGTTCAAAGTTCAAACCCTACAAATCAATTTCAGATATTTGTTCGAAGTCATTTCCTTCCTATAACTCATATCATTTTTTTCCTTTTAAGAAAATTACTCAAATTTGCTTTTCCTTCTTATTACTCAAATCATTTTCTTCCTATTACAAAAATTACACAGATTTGCTTTCCATTCCTATTTTACAAGGTGAACACGCCCATAAAAATTATTATTTTCTTTGCCATTTTACCCCTTTCCCTAATCCCTACCATAACTTGGCCACCAAACAAGGCCTTAGGGTTTGACGTGTGTAATTTGCAAGCAACTTTGGTGGAATGGAATGTGAGTTATTTAAAAGATCCAAAAGTGTGGAAAAAACCTTCCATTCCAGGCCAGCATAGTACGGAGGGGATTGTATCCATGAATTTTTCTTGGAACAACAATTCGCCAGATTTGATACTCCAAAGCCGCAAGTAGCAGTCCTCTCCGCCTAAAATAATAAGAATATTATTTTCATATAAGTTGATCCATTTTTTTACGCTTAACACTGAAAATGGCCTTTACCGGACATGACAATGCTCTCTGATGGATCAACTCCTAGCTGTATGCGTGTATGAGAATTGACATTGCCTTCATAAGATTGCATAGCTCCTCTCTGAGTTAGCCGATTATCATATAAGTTGATCTGGAAACGCAAGTCACAATTACATCAAATGATAGAGGTTTCATTTAGAATCTAATGGATAATCAGAAAACCAGTTGTATCTGAAGTTCTGAAAAATAATTAATATAGCTACAAAGTCATTCCTAGTGTGTTTTTATGCCAAAGGATGAATTTGATAGAGAACTCCAGAAATCTGTCGGTAATTTGATATACTCCCTCCGTCCCTTAAAACTTTGACAACTTTCCTTTTTTGGATGTCCCACTAACTTTGTCACTTTCCCTTTTAAGTAAAGAATTTGTGGTTCCAGTTAATTCTCTCTCCTCTGCACAAACATCGACCACACAGTTTTTACTTTATTAATCCCTATGCCGGTCAAACTTGGCAAAGTTTTAAGGGACGGAGGTAGTATATTACAATGGAAAGTGAAGAAACGGAAACGGAATTAGAGATGAGGCAAGTTTGAGTCTTCGAGAGTGCCTCTTCTCTCCCAAGTCCCAGCCCAATCCAAGTTCTGCCTGCCCTTTTCCCTTTACCCGCTCATTATTACATTACTTCTCCTAAAGGGCCGGCCCTCAGCCCTAAGTCACTGGGCTTAGAACCCTTTTATTGTACAATATTAATAGACTAAATATTATTCTTATTACGAGGAATGTCCGGGTCCCTATCAAAATTCCTGGTTGAAAAAGTTATCTCATCTCCACCATTTATAGTCAGACTTTACTTGTGAGTTTCTTCTGACCACCAACCACAGGTACATGCCACTATAATTCAAGAGTCTTCTAATTATAATTAGTATTATATTATGAGAAGTAATTAAATGCTGTTAAAATAAAATCCTCCCATAACTTTAATAATAATTATCATGTATAATTTAATATTCCTTTAACATCATCTTTAAAAGTCAAAATTTCACACCAACCTATTTAAGATGACGCTTGAAGGACCATGTTAAATACATGAGCTACATTTCTCAATAAATTTCTAACAACCCTCCTCCATTTGTTACAGCTCCATAATCAGAATTCATCCACTTATTAATTTATTATTATGGTACAGAACTATTACAGCTCCATAATCAGAATGTTCATCAATTGGTATAAAATTCCCATTGTCCCCTATACATTGTATTCCCCCAATAGTTCTGATGTTTCCGATATAAAAAAAATCTTCATCTTTTGGGACTAAGGCTTGGATGTTGTTGTTGTTGTGGTCTTAGAGACTTGGGTAGCGACTAATGATATTTCTCGAAGTCCCTGAAGAAACTCCGAAAATATCAAGAAATATTGAAAAATAACGTACTCCCTCCTTCCTAGCTTAAGCTTCTCATATGCCTCTTTTAGACGTCTCATCTAAAGCTTCTCATTTCTATTTTAGGAATTAATTTGCACTTTTACATGACAAATTAATCATCAAATATTCAAAATAATACACCTATAACATCACAGTTATCATCAATGACCTCATTATGTTATATACTCATCAAAAGTATTTCTCGAAATATACTCGAATTAGCATATTTAGTTATTGTCTAAATAACCATGCCATTTTTCAATGAGAAGCTTATGCGGGGACGGAGGTAGTAACTTTTTTATAACTATTGGGAAGTAATGAAAGATGTATCTGATATATAAGTTATCTCATTATCTTCTTTTTTTCAAAAAAAAAACTCACAAAGCGCAATTGTTATTCCACCCAAAAAATCTGATATCGAACTATTCATCCACCTTTTCCATCATTTGCAAGGAGCCAAAGACTCACTATTTTTTGGCTTTGGAATATAATGGAATAAAGCAAAATGACTCACTAAATTTTTTGTGCTTTTTTGTTATGAAGCAGGAGTCAGTTCATGCAATTTTTAAAGCTATTTTCAAAATGACTCACTATATTTTCACTATTTTCACTATTTTTGAAACAGTCTCTCTGTGCTTTAGTATAGGGGTAAGGTTGCGTACATCCGACTCCCCCTACCTCACCGTAGGTGAAACTGTGAAAGCCTTTGCGGCACTGAGGTAATGATGATGATGATGATCAAACTATCCAACGCTTTTTCCTATACCAATATTATTATCCTTCAATATACTCATCTTATTGCTATTCATAGTTGTTATCTTCCCAATGATGTGAAAGAGAAGTCACTAATGACTTCATTAATGAATCACTTGAACCACTTACAATAATACAATATCAATGAAATAACTCTACACCTGGATCAAGATCTTACTATCCCAAACAAGTCATATCACCTCTCATTTAAAACCTGCCCTAGCAAATAATTCACTAAACCAGAATACAACTTTATCGTATATAGAGTGGATTAGTGCATAACCATTAAAAAAACTCAATTATATGCTATTAGTACTTTTGAGCTTTCAAGTAATTGTATGGAAAATAGTATGTGTAACTCTTTTCATTAAATGAAAGACGTATTTCAGAACAGGACTGTCATCGTAACTTTAGAGGAGGTTCCAGGAACAATGTTTGTTCATCACTACGTTGATGGAGCTCCCATCAGAACTATAGAATACATCTATGACTTTGATCCTACTGTTAGCCTCATGTGCTTCCAAACTGGATTTGATATCCAAATTTGTTGTTAGTTTACAATGGCAAAGCAGTCCTCTCAATAGGGATGCACCTGGTCATGGAATCCACCTTATTGAACCTACTGCCATGAGAACAAGGCTGAACCTAGCCAAAAAGTGGTTTAGGAGAAGTTTGAATATGGGGTCACCATATTGACAACTGCTACTGGAAGGCCCCTGGAGTGGAGAAGAACATATATATGTTCCCAAAACAATTGCTGGGGAAGGGAATAGAGAAACAAATGAGAATGTTGTGGTGGAAATGTGAGGAAAGGGTGTAACGGATGGAGATACCGAGATAAGCCAAGTCATATTGACTTAACGAAAAATGATGTGAATTGTTCAACCCAAAAAAAGGTGACAAAAATGAGAGGAAGGAGACTAGTGATAACAAGTAAGCGGTTAGCTCAGTTGGAAAAGAGATTATACTGATTGCGAATATGATGTCTAAGGATTTGATGCACCTGAAAGAGGTGGTTAGGGAAGAGGTGAGGTGGTAAGAAATAATCATGATGTCAGGCGGTCAGGACTCAATCGATCTATCCACGGATCTAAGGCTGATTGCCAATTCCTTCCTTAGACTTCATAAAATTATGATTCTTGTACAGTTGGTTTGCTATTTATTGCTAAGCCCTTAGCCTCTGAGGATCATATGAAGGACTATGCTGGTAAACATCAGTTTCCTTATTACTGTTCCAGTCCTATAAAAAACTGGATAATGTGGAAGGATTCTTGTGAAGGAAATATTATAGAGCAAGGAGCAGGTCATTTCTTTGAAGTGTTCTTGGAATAATGCTTATGTAATTGTGTCAGGAGTTTATGATAAGTTATAAAGGAAGCTCAAAAAAATGCAGGAGCTATCCCATATCTCCATATCCATCAAAATTATTTCCTTCCCTGAATGGTGTGTGGAGATCTCAACACTGTTGTATCTGCGCTTCTGGAGACTATGACACGGTGTGGTCTAGAAGAATGTGAGATACAGATAGGTTAGTTCTCCTGGAAGACTGGAATAAGGGTACCATGTGGAAAAGGTTATAGAGACTCCATGTTAATGATGCTTGAGCCTTGAAATTTTCAAATTTCACCACTTAATTCCTAAATAGAGACACTTTTGCCTAATTTGCCTACTTGGGGAGTGATTAGGCTCCTTAGTCCTGGTTCATTTAGGTTTCAAAATATGTGGACGTCTGATGAATCCTTTATGGGGGTAGTGCAGGACTCATGGAGCATTCCATTTTCCAAAGGAGTTGTAAGGACTTCGGTTCAAGCCAGTATGAACGCATTTTTGGTATGCACTTAACAACAGCATAGCAAAAGTTGGAGGCACCTGAGAGGGAGTTAGTCCGGGGAGGATCGCGCAAAGTCGGCAAACGTGGCTGATAGCTTGCGGCACATGCTATTGTCTTTCTAGCAGTTAAACATCAGCCGTCCTTATTATTCTTTCCTTTTTATTTCTTAATTTCAGTTTTAGTAGGTTCCCAATTAATCTGTATTCAGTTTTAGCTTTCTTTTTATTATAGGAACTCTGGTAATAGCTATAAAAGGTTCTCCAGCTTTAGCTAACAAACTACTTTTTGGAGAACTAATTCTTGTCTTTCTTTACAAAGTGGGTCACCGAATGGGCGAATAATTCAACATCAAGCATAGATCATTAGATCCAAACGACATACACGCCCATCCCTCTCTTCTTCTTTCTCATCTTAGACCTATGATCAGTATTCTTGGCAAGCTCCATGGGTGGATTGGTTAGGCTATTAACATGGAACAAATAGAGCTTTACTAACATTCTTATAAACTTTGAGAAAGCTGAGGCTGAAAGTAGTAAGCTAGAGAGAGCTTTTGAAGCTTCTGGATTCAATGATTATTGATTGTTGAATAAATGCAAAAATCTCTAGTATAGCCTCTGAAGTGTCAAGGTACATAATGAGAATAGAATTTTCAAATATTTAGATAAGATTGAACACTGACCGATCCATCCATGGAGCTTGCCAAGAAATACTGATCATACAGCACCAGGGACGCAATACTGAAATTTCATGTGAAAAGGCATATTGAGTTTTACTTCCTTTTTTAAAATCAGCAACAGATAGATTGTAAACAGAAGGATATGGACCAAGGACTATTGTATGTGCATCATGTGGAACCAAATCATACAAATATATTATTATTATGATGATCATCATCATCATCATCATTGTATACAACTCCTGTCATCTAATTTAGGAAACGAATCAAATCAATCCCTAAAATCAAGCTATTCTAAATAATGCAATACAACTTATATGCATATCATAGCAGAGATATGGTTTCCGTTTCTTTATTTTTCAGGTATGTATCATCATCAAAGAGGGGAATCCACTAACCAAGAAATAGATGATGGCATAGATATTGTATCAGAACTGCATAAGTTCCCTTTGACCTGCGTATGCAATTGAACTGTGATTAGCTTCGTGCAAATAATGTATGCAAGCACAGAGTAAAAGTGTAATAGCACATTCGATCATGTTTATGCACATACACACGCACCAACCCCCAACCCCACAAACTATAAATAAAGGGAAAGGGAATGGAGAGAGTGGATGGTAGGATGAGTTTGGTTTTTCAATAAAACACAAGAGTATTTTAAGGCGTTACTCATTTTCCTTCATTAAGTAAATTCCATTTGGAAGGTGAGCCTTGGCGCACCGGTTGAGGTGTTGCTGTGATCGGGAGGTCACATATTTAAGTCTAGGGAGCAGCCTCTTGTCAAAAATTTGACTGGAGAAGGCTTGCCCCTTTATACACCCTTATGGTGGGACCCTTAACCGGACTCTCGCCTGCGGGATTCCTTCAGGACACTCTGCCCTTTTTTTAATTAATTTCCATTTGGGCAGTTGGTTTTCAATGAATTGGATAATTAAAGTGCAATTATAATTAAGAGTTTTAGCCACTTGTAGTCCTCCGACTATTATATCATTGACACTTTTGGTACTTCAGTACTTGACTTTGAATTTTTCAACTTTTAGTCCTTCGACTATTCTGGGGAAGACACCCCTGGTATCCGTCTTTGAAAATTTCCATATTTAGTCCTTCGACTTTCAAAAAAATGACACTTTTAATCTTTCAACTATTACAATAGTGACATTTTTAGGCCCCTACTTATTGTGTCAAAATCGTAGTGGAAGGACTAAACATGCCAATTTGATAATATTGAGAGGAAATGTGGGAAATTTGATGTTGAGGACTAAAAGTGTCTCTCACATAATAATCGAGGAATAAAAATGGAAAAATTGGATGTCGAGTACCAAAAGTGTCACTGGCACAATAATCAAAGGACTGAAAGTGGCAAAAACTCTTATAATTAATTAACTAGGAGTTTATAAATTTATACTTGTATTCCTGCTATAGGTCTAGTACTCAAGTATAGCTTAAGATAAGAGGCTAAAACTTGTGAAATGTTTTAGATAAAACCATAGCAGCACATGGGAGATAATTGATACCGGGAATTGTTCCAGGTGAAATTTCTTAGATCGTCCACTTGAAATATTGTGAGGATGGGAAGGAATCTGGTGCTTAGGAAGTCTAACAGAAAAATTCTGAGGTCTTTGGCGAGCATCAACAGATAAAATTGTTCCATTCCTCAGCCCACACAAAGCGATATTACCCTGCAAAAAGTAAATTTTACCTTCCAAATAATGATTCTAGTGTATGCTGTTACATGCATTTAAAAGGTACACTGGTACAGAATGTTAAAACGCTCCATCAAAACTCAAAGGTATTCAGACTGATGAAACTTTGCTGAAAAGGAGCAGAACTCCATTAAATGCTTTGTGAGGAAATTAACGTGCTAATGCACTTCATGACTCTCCGCTTCTTATTGAATATATTTTTGGTACATTTCTTTGATATATGCAACTCATGCAGTGTAATCCTGGATCATTTTTGTTTGATGCGAGTAAGATGATGGGCTCACTAAAAGATTGTCACAGGTTTTGAAAATGTTGCACAATGAAACCTACTAATTTTTCTAGAAAACATCTGGAGCGCGAAATTGCCAGATGATACATGCAATATAAGCTAATTTGGTAATTACCGATTGATCTAATTGTAAAGATAGAACATCACTTTTACAGCGACAAATCCATGATGTCAATCCAGTATCCACATTTACCAGAGCAGCTCCCATATTGGTGCCTAAAACAGGGGAAATAGAATAAACAAGTTTAACAATAATGTAGTGTTTCACATACTTGATGGTCACGATGATGGTTCATTCTTGTATGGCCCAATCAGCTACTCAATGTCCCATGACACAAAACAATCTAATGTTACAGTAGTTATGTGAACATTCATGCAAGCATTCTAACAAAAGATCCACACTTTTGCAATATTTTTTTATGCATCATTCTAGTATTGAATTCTATTTCCATCATTTGCAATGGAACCAAAGACTCGCTATTTTTTGGCTTGAGAATATGATGGAATAAAGCAAAATGGCTCACTAAACTGTCTGCACTTCTTTGTTATGAAGCAACAGTTAGTCCATGCAATTTTCGACGTGATTTTCACCATGGGTCATCCGGAAACAGTCTCTTTGTGCTTTAATACAGGAGTAACGCTGCGTAAATCCGACCCCCCCCCTTACCCCACCGTAGGTGGGATCCTTTGCGACACTGGGGTAATGATGATGGTGATGATGATGATTCTAGTATTGAATTTTAAATTTACAGAGTAAAGGTCTCTTTAAAATTTGTATACACCTGAGAGGGATTAAGCAAAGTTCAGTCAAAAGAAAAGAGAACACTTGCCTATCACTGCTCGACTTCCATCAAAGGTGCAGTCTGCTGTCCAAACTGTATAGTCAAAAGAGGCAACTCGAGACATTGGCCTCTGCACCAGAAATGGATTTAAATCAACTGGTTCACTGAGGTTCAGAATATAGACTGTTCCACCAGATATTTCAGACCCCAGGGTGGTTACACTGCATCCTTTTATTAAGCTCAACAAATACATAAGCAACCCTCTACTTTGGCAAACCAAAAAATGGAGTAATGTTTTTCATTTTTATTTTTTAATGTTTTCGGGGGGAGAGCATATTAGCTCAGATGGATGAGCATCAATTGCTTCGCAAGTGTGGTTGCCTGAACATTCAGTAAAAGGCTATTGGCCAAATGATATATACAATAGAATTGTGTCATTTGAAAGCAGGTAACAAAACACCAAAATAATACTACGTATTAAAAAGAATATAGCTGCAAATTTCAATATAACTAAAAATACATGTTATACAGAAGGCAAGAAGAAAGCTTGGTGAAAGTTCCATATGGAGAATTATTCATAAATGGATTACTACATTACTACTCCCTCTGCCCCGCTAAGATTGTCTCATCTTTCCTTTTCGGTCTGTCCCACTAAGATTGTCCCATACTAAATTTGGTAAAGTTTGTGTGGTTCTAAATCATTGTTACTTTACTCTTATTTTATCAATTCAATATCAACCACATAAACTCACTTTTCTTGATAATTGCACCACCTCCTCATGTTCCATTGTTAGTGATGGAGGTAGTACAACATAAAAAACAAACTGAAGACAATGGCAAACAATTACATAACTTGCAATGACAAGCTAATAAACGCAATACAGATATAAAGAGCTATTGCAAGGTCAAAACCAAGAAGATAGTCATCACCCATAATGGAACTTGTTACCACTCAAGAAAATGATGACCTTATACAGAGTTGCAAACGCAACAAGCATCGTAAATATGATGGGGCGTCATGCAAATCGTGCACCGACAGATTACTAAACACATCTTAAGATGACCGTATGACTGTCTACATAAATGAACCATTTCAAAAGTGAGTGAATACATAAAAGCATTCAGGATAGCATAAGCAACCAACAACATACTGCTTACCAAAAAAGCAAAGCATCTGTTTACCACACTTTAAGGATACAGTGCGTGATTTAAAGAAGTATTTTCAACTGGATGACGATCCCTCTGGCACATCTTTATGCAGGAAATAGCAGGTGAAATATGTAGATCGGATCCTAGACTTCTCCATGCAAGCCATGGTAATTGGATGTACCCTTTAGAGTTAGCAGAACCAGATGGCCATACACGATCTGGCAGTAGCATTACACCATCATTAATTTCTTCTTCTTCATCATCCCTTCCTACTTCAAAAAGACTGCAAAAACACCAAACATCAAAAACAACAAATTCAAAGGAGGGTCTTTAGTTTTCCTAAACCAGTTGAAGCTTTCAAAATTCAATACAAAAAGGTCCAAACAACCCTTCTACTATTTCAAATCCAGAGCTTAAAATACTAGAAAAAATATGGAGTATCATAGAAGCATGCTTACTTCAAAAAAACAATCAATCCTTTCATTTTACTGGTTTTTGACCTGCAATAGCAGGTCCCTTTTTGAAAAACAATTAAGAAAAATGATAAATTCTGTAAAAAGTCATAATGTTTAAGAAGTACACATAAACACAAAATAGTTAAAATGTCAAAATAGATACATCATTATAAAAAATCCTCCCTCGGTCCCAATTTGTAAGATATGTTTCCTATTCACTTGGTCAACACAAATCACTTTTAATCTCTTACTTTATTAATCAAATTTTTACCAAATTTGATTCTGGTTTTTGCGACTTTGTAAAGCTTTTGATGTAGTTTCTAAATGTGTAATTTTTTTTCTAAAAAAATTTTGAGTGCGGTTGGGGATCCGTTTGCTTTATCGTTGGTCAAACATCGTAAACCGTAAAGTATCTTACAAAGTGGGACGGAGGGAGTATTAAATTAAAAGAATATAACATCAAAATATAAAAGTGAATATAAGATTTTTAAAATTACAATGTAAAAAATTAAAAAATGAAGAATATATAATTAAAAAATGCAAACAAGATTCGAATTTGACTTTTTAGACTTTTTTGCAGTTCTTTTCCATTTTTCGAATTTTATCAGTTTATTAATTTTAAAAAGCACATGCTAACCAGTAAATGGCCGCATTGATGATTTTTCAAAGTACGTGTCTTTTGGCAATAAAGTATGCATGTTATGATGTTTTTTAGAAGAGGCATAAATGATGAATTTGAAATAATATAAAGGTGTGTTTGGGAGTTTGAGGGTGAGGGAAGGGGAAGGCTTTGAAGTAGACCTGGACAAAATCGGGTCGGCCCGTCCAGCCCGCCCACACAAATGGGCGGGCTTGGACATATATATTTACCCACCGGGCCGGCCCGAGCCCGACCCGCAATAAGATATGGGCAGGCTTGGGTTAGGGTGTAGGCCCATTCGGGCCGATAAGCCCAGCCCGCTACATTTAGTATATATAAATATATATATATATATATATATACTAATTTATTTATTTATTTGCATATTCACATGTATATTTATATTTACTAATTTTTCTTTATACATATTTATAGTTAATTATGTTTAAATTTAAATTTTTAGTTCTTAACAACTAGCCCAACCAATATAATATCAGTGTTGTCAATCCCGGATTCCCGGATAGCGGAGCGTAGCGGCGAGCCCTAAAAACGCTATAGCGGTATAGCGGATAGCGGGATGACCGCTATTTAGACTACTTTCAATATAATAGATAAGTAAGTACGGGAAGCATATACTCCATATAATACATTACATACACATTTTGAATTCAAAAAGTATGATATATGCCAATGAAGGTTGAAAACATCACATTCATAAATCCTAAATTACTTAAAAATACTCTTTAGTTTCATGAGCAAAACACAAGATGCTATTAGAAATTAAAACATCTCAAGTCAAAACATTGAGTCAAAAGCAAGTATCTAGTGTAAGAGTTTAAGCCTTGATAAATTAAAAGTCAAAAAAGAGAGTAGACTGACTAGACTCTATATGAGAAGAAGAAAAGAAGACCGCAGGTCTGCAGCAAAGGTTGGGGAAGAAGATGTTGCAGCAGAAGGTAGTACTACTGAAGGCAGAGGAGGGCAGCATGTGTCGTTCTTGGAGAAGAAGCCATCGCAGAGTAGCAGAAATAGATGATCGTCGTTCTTGGAGAAGAAGTCATCGCAGAGGTTCTGAATATTTCAAAAGCTGGCTTCGTTTTGAGCTTTTAGAAGCCTTTAACGTACGTATAAGGTTTTACGTAGGTTAATATTTTGTTTTAAAAGTCTAATTTACCCCTTCTATGTCTGCCCTAAAAAATTAAACGCTAAAAACCATCCCAGAGTGCGCAGTAACCTCTTTGATATAAAATGCGCCGCTTTAGCGGCCGCAAAAGGCTTCTCCGCACCACTGCGATAGCGGGCGCTATGGCCGCTACACCCAAACGCCACGCTAGAGCCCTCCATGTAGCGGCTTCCATGTAGCGCTCCGCTATAGCGCGCTATAGCGCCGCTATTGACATCACTGTATAATATCTATTTTTGTACTTAAAGATAATACTTTGTGCTTAAATTTAAAACTTTAGATATAGTTTCTCATTATTATTTTTGTGCAAGTATTTTTTTTGTATGTGGTGAAAGACGTATAAACATTATAAGCGTATTAATTATTTTATAAATGTTGTAATATTATTTTTAAAGTATTTAAAAAATCATATAATTTTTGAAAAAATTAAAATATTCCCGAGCCGGGCGGCCCGGTGGACTACCCGGCCAGCTCTTATGGGCGGGTATGCACATAGGGTTAGGCCCGTTTTTGCGGGCCGGGCTGGGCCCGCCCACACATGATGGGCAGAAAATTTTTAAAAAGCCCGGCCCGAGCCCGGCCCGAACCCGTTTTTGTACAGGTCTACTTTGAAGGAGAGTAGAGAGAAGGGAAGGGGAGGGAGATGGGAAGGGATTCCCTCATCTTGTTTGGGAGTTGCAAATTTCAAAAGAGGATGGTTTGGGGACTTGAGGGGTTTCAGCGGCGGAGAAATGAAGCGAGTAGCAGCTCATAAAGATTTTATGCGGAAGCGGTTTTAGTTTCAGAGGATATATCTATCATTTGCGTAGCTAGACCTTATAAAACTCTCAAATCGAGGGAATTAGAAAACCCAGGTTTTGGAGGGTTTACAAGGATTTTATAACACCCCAAAACCTTTCCCTCATACGATAGTATTATTTAAACTCCCAAAGACAAATAGGAGGGTTTATTTCCCTCACATGCCTTCCCCTCCCCTCCAAAAACCAACTCCCAAAACCACCCTAAGGGTCTATTAGGATCTTTTCCTAAATTCAACATGTGTGCATACTCCCGCTGTCCCTAAATTATCTACATACTTTTCTTTTTCATACAACAAGATCCAAAATCATACACTCATCCAACTGAAGTATTATACTCCCTTCATCCCTTATAACGTTGTCATTTTTCCTTTTTTATAGTCCGAAAAACTTTATCACTTTCTCTTTTAATTAATTATTTTGTAGTTCCTATCATTTCTCTCTCCTCTATGCAAACTTGAACCACACAGTTTTTACTTTATTATTCTACGTACCGGTCAAACTTGGTAATCTACGTTTTTACTTGGTAAAGTTATCACGGACGGGGAGGGGGGGTATAATTCATATTTGTTAGTGCTTCTAAGTTTTGACTATCTTCTAGACATACCAAAATAGCCCATTCGAACTGCCGGTCACCAAAATCTCTGTTTTGACAATGCCCTGCGGACTTTCAACACCAACTGTTGTCTGCTCCATTGCATTATCTACAATTCTTTCTGTGTCAAGATACTTCCAAATCTGAATGAAATACATAACAGGATGACAAATGTGGTATGGAATATATTCAACTATGAGATAAATGAAAAAATATATAATTCTAGGACTTGGCTCAGAAATTGTTGATCAACATCTAACAACTCGTTCACGGCATCGTCCATTAATTTTCGCATTCATTAACAGGTTTCCACAAAACCCCATTTGCACGAGTTCACAAAAATTACAGCTATTTTCAAAGGCAATATTTCCTAAAAAACTTAACAGATAATACACACATGCATATATATATATATATATATAGAGAGAGAGAGAGAGAAATGGAAGGATTTACTTCCTTACTGTTATTTTTCACCTAAGACAAAAAGAAAAGGTGAAATTATAGGGATACATACAAATACCAGGAAGGTGACCCAAAACTGTCGTAATATAATAGTCTTACCTACCTCTAAGATGTTGACAGAATCAACTTAAGACTACTAGTCTGTAGAGAAAAACTAGGGATTGAATAAAGGGACAAACAATTCCCGAGAACTCAAGTCTTGAAACATTCTAGCAGATTGGATATACTATTGATACTAATCCACACAGCCACTAAACCATATGCCTTGACTCTTAATATCGAGTTACCTACTATTCCTGTTAAGGAATACATTAAGGAAAAAACACAACCAAAACAAAACATTTTCCCCGCTAAATAGGGTCTTAGTCTCTTACAGGTACAAATGTGGTCTACGCTCAGTAATTAATCAGAGCATGATCTCAGGCTGGTGTCAATACAACTCTCGCAACACACTCTTCCATAGGAAACTTCTAAATAGGTAATACACTTAAGTGTCGTCCACTTTCGGGGTTAGTTTATTGACTTTATTTGGCATATAGGCTATGCCCCATTGGAAGTGTTTTGAAGTTTTGATTCGCCTTTGCAAATCATGAAACATTTTATTCTCAAGGTCAAGTTATCATGGAAGATCGAGTAAGTAGAACTCACATAGTGGCAGCGTTTATAATTGCGCAATGCAATACCGCAATAAGGCGCGCAACAGTAAATTCAGAGAGAAAGGCGGGTTATTGCATTGCTAAAGGCGGAGGTCTGTAATCTTACGAGTTGTTGCGCAGAGGCGTACGCATTGCGCCTCAAGGCGAGCGCCTTAACAGTTGAAGCAATATGTGGGCCGATATGGCCCACTTTTTTATTTTTTTAGTTCGACAGCCTACCTCGTCCTGCGTGTACGCTATTTATTCCCTTTGCTGCTGCTTAACTATGAGTCAGTCGTGGTTGCCAAAAGTGTTCCTCTCCATCAATTATTTGTTGACAGTGTTCCCCAGGCTTCTTAATACTTCAATGCTTCACCACACATGTTTCTTCTACGATTTGACTTCAATTTTTTTGTTAGTAATACTACGTATATGATTCATTTTTGTCAATCGTTATTTGATAATTTCAGTTAATTGATAATTGATATTATTCTTTAATCACAGGTGCTTTTTAAATCTTAACTTCAGTCAATAAATCTTGTAATTGTTTTGATAATTGATATAGAAAGTTAATTCTACATTTATCTTAATTTTAGTAATATTAAGTATATGGTTGTCCATCGTTTTGATAACCTCAGTTCATTGATACAATCTATTATTCATTACTCACAAGTGCTTCTTTTAGTTCTTTAATCTCAATTTCAGTTAATAGATACTATCATATTATTCTTTAATCACAGGTGCTTCTTTAATCTTAATTTCAGATTTTCAGTTAATAAATTCTTTAATTGTTTTGATAATTGATGTATAAAGTTAATTATATTTTACATATTATCTTACTTTTAATATTAATATAAATTTGGGTATTATCTTCATTTTCTGTTAATGTGAAACTTGTTAATACTTCGTATTATTTGAATTATGTGTTAATATTAAAAGACACACACACACATATGCATTTTACGCCTCAGGTCTACGCCTCATTGCGCAATGAGGCTTACGCAATAGGCAATAATAATAAAACGCCACGACTACGCAATACGCAATTTAAAACCTTGCATAGTGGCATAAATATTTATCAGTAAAATGCATTCTAATATCCTTTGATGAAAAACTGCTAGAACTGAATTCCATAGGAAAACGATTGAAAGTGACACCGTAGTTGTAATATTCACAAACCATGAATTGTGCGATTGATGAACTATTGAGCTAACACTTTCTCACAAAGATGCAAACCATTCCAACACGTTATTAGGTTCAAATATTTTTTGTTAAGAAATTCAACCAAGGGGTGGATAAAATGATGATAGTGGTAACCATGACTCTCATGTCTTAAGATTGCCAAATGCTTTGTGGCTGTGCCATTGAGCACATTTTGGACGGACAACGACCCCATCTACTTCCAGATTTTTAAGGGCTCCTGGACGCAACACCAGACATCACGCAATGTGCAGTACTCTTCTAAGAGGGGGGAAATGTCATACTTAAGAACTAAACTAATTTTATATTTTATTGCCTTGTTACCACCGTAGGGGAGCCATGGCCACTGGTTAAATAGGGGAAGGCTTGCCCCTTATACGCCCTTGGGGTGGGACCCTTCCCCAGACCCTCACCTTGCAGGGATGCGTTCGTGCACCGAACTGCCCTTCTTTATTACCTTGTTACCACATAATATCAAATGACATGAAGTTTGCGATAAAGGCTACTCAATGACACATATCATTAGTATCAAGCATCCCGAATTAAAGAACAATAAAATCTAAAAGCCTTGAAATCCTATAGCATCTATAAAATACTCCCTCCGTTTCACAATCTTTGACACACTTTCCTTTTTTGGTTGTTTCACAATCAATGACACACTTCCTTATTTCCTTATTTGGTAAACAAATCTTTACCAAAACAGTGCAAAACAGTGTCAAACAGTGCCAAACAGTGTTCAAATAGTGCCAAACAGTGTTCAAACAGTGCCAAACAGTGTACTCTACAGTAAAATTTACCCCTCAGTAACATTTTTTCCTTAATTCTTGACAAGTCAAACAGTGTCAAAGATTGTGAAACAGAGGGAGTAGCAAATAGCACTGAATCATTTCTACCGTGCATCCAAGTGGGATTTTCTAATCTAAGAGATATAACTCAACTAAGATGTGACACATGATAAATTCAAATGCAATTGTTTTAAGTTCCCAAATTATTTATTAGAAGATATCAATGGACCAGACCTTAGGTTGTGAAGCTCGTCTCTTCTGGTATTCCATTTGAAAACTGAACTTCCCTTTCCTGTTAGTTATCAACTGGCCACACAATTCCCTACCCTGGAGAAGAGTATTACTTCTGATTTTCAAGCTCTTATGTTCATCTTTTTCCTACAACAAAACAATGAAGAACATATATTGTTCCTGTGATACAACAGCTTAGAGTGGAAGAGACCAATTGAAGATGAAATGTTTAGAGTTTGTTTATAAGATTTGGGCATATTGAGTGTGAGCATACTGTTGGCAGGTTAAAGAGAGTCATAACATGATATTTGTAGGATTGTAGGAGACTAGAATCCAAAAGAAGCATATTGTTTCTGGAAATGAAATCTGGGCATTTGACACATTAGTTCGAGTAGACTGACACATTAGTTTTCTGGTGACTTTTTTCGCGAGTTTTTGAAGAACTTCTGGTTTTTCACCAGCAGCTTGCCAGTTAGACCAGGCAAGATTTATATTGACACTTTTAGGGAAAATCCTATTCACATATTTGATATCACAAACTCGAGAAGTAATATTCATGTTATACTTTCATAAAAAAAATATAGCAAATTTCCAGTTTAGAATACGGTGTAAGCTTAATTTATAAATAAAGGTCTCACCTAACAAGAGTATTTAACTTGCACTAACAAAATGTAAAATTTTTAAACATTATCCTCATATATTTGATCTAAAGGTGTTATTTATGTTTTCAAACAACAGGTTTGAGGTATACTTTCTCCATGTATTAATTTTCTGCAAAAACTAAACAAGAAAAAAACATTGTATAGATGCAGTTGGCAGCATATCTGAAAAGGCAGGCGTTAAGGACACTTGGACACTCGGGACATTGTGAAGTGTTAGTCATAACTCATAAGTAGAAGAGGGAACACTTTCTTAAGCGGCAAAAGAGAGGTGTTCCTTTAGCTTCTTGAAGGAGATGTCAATGGTTCAAGATCCAGTACATTGGGCATTTAGTATATAAGCTTATTTGTGACAGTGTCAGAAATTAGTTCCAGTAGAAACGTGGGGTAGCACTGTGACAGACAGGGTATACAGTGATCCTAACATAACCATATCACAGGGAGAAACCTGGGTTGTCAAAAAAAAGCAATCTATACGACGTGTGAATGAAGAAATGGTAAAGGTCGAGACTTTTCTTTTCAGCTATTCAGGACTGCCAAATAATCACGAATACATCATATGGTAGCTCTTTCAATAAATAATACCTTCGCAGTGGAGGCCGGTGGAGGAGATTTCCGTTTCCTGGAAGAGCCAGGGATTGGTCCCTTGACAGGAAAATACCTGTTCTTCTCCGAGTCATAGTAGAACCCTGGAAGCTCTGTCAATCAAAAATGCCAACTATTACATCACCAGAACTAGTGCTCAGTCAAACCATATTCCATCGAATTAGCTAAATTAGAGGGAAGAACCTTTGGGCATTATCAAGAATATATAACAACCGTAGGAAGATGATAATTAGCTCTCCAGCCGCAGGAGTCCTGCGTATGAGCGACCGACTATAATCCTGTCACAGCCTTAGCAAGGGGATTTCCGTTGGAGCTTCTGCTCCCATGAGAGGCTGCAGGCAGGCACTGGTGCGGAGTTAAATTTAGAAAGCCCAATGACCAAAAACATTCGGGCCTTCACTCTACACGGTCCACATCAAATTAAATTAAATCAAATTAAATTAAGTAAGAAGGAAATTGATAAAAATATAACTAGAGAAAATCATGTATTGATCATCATATTGCTTTCAATTCTTCAGATTCGTTGGATTTTTTTTTCGAATTAATGCTAATTAATTAATTAATTACGAAAATAATGTTGGGTTAAAAGTATTTACCGATCTACTGCTGGGTTTAACCATAGTCGGGTAAGTCGCCAAACGATTGGGCGACTTATAAGTCGACATCCGGTTTGGCGACTTATAAGTCACCCAACCGTTTGGCGACTTACCCCTTACTATAAACAAGGTCTCATTTCTCCTATTTAGAAGTTACGAACCAGATACAACACATTTCAATAACCCAATATTCATAACAAAGTAGTCATCTAATATTCATAATCGAACACATCAACACATCATAAAAGAGTTTAGAGGTGGAAATACGTAAAATAAAGTCAATTCTTCCTACAACATCTAGTGTACAAGAAAAACTCCAATACAAAAGACAAACTACAAGTTCTCATGGTCTTCTTGATCGTCTTGGTCTTGGGCAGTTGTCGTGACAGTATCATCATCATCTTCATCAGATTCTGTCATGTCATCACTGTTGATGTTATCGTCAGCATCATCATCACTACCCTGCCCATCCACAAATGATGCACCATTGTGCACATACCTACCTCTTCCTCTATAACCATGTCCACTACAGCAGCATTTGAGGAGTTCCCTGCATTGACACCATGCCTAGGTAGAACAACATTTGATGTTGATGGAGTAGCAGAATAGTCAGATATGGATTCCTCAATTTATATCTCCAACGTGGACATACTCTCCATCTGAATTATCAACCACATATTTGATACCGCTAGCTCATCAAGAAGTGGCATGAGCATGTAATTCCCCCGTTCATGAGAAATTTCATTTTCAATCGCAAACAATGGCTCGGAGGAATCATTGTAGCTGCATGGATTTTTTGCAGCATCTCGACCAAACATGCACCACGAGAAACAATGACAAAGCTGTTTCTACCACCTTCATGGCGTATTTGGCCACCTTCCTCAAATATGTTCCCTCCCCAATGACACACGATTGGGAAGTTTAAGAAATCCATATTCTAATAACAATACATGTCCAACTTTCATGAGTACACATTAATATACACAATTCATACACCCAAATTAATCATTTCATAGGCATCACAACATATTAAGCAAATCCTTTATGATATATATACACTTAAAAATGGAAAAATATAACATTTAAAAAAATAACACATTCTAATTTTTGAGTTTTTTTATCATTAATAAAGTTCAAAATTTTAACAAAGTTCAATTCATACCTCCAAATATACATTACATAACAAAGTTCAAAAAAATATATATAACAATGAATTCAACATCAACATTCAACACTTCACACATATTCACATTACACAACAAATCAATTCACAAATTAATTCCTAATTTACAAAATTCAATTTTCTATATTCTAAACCCTAGAATGAAAAATAAGATAAATTGGAGATATTTTTTTACCTAGAGTGTTGAAGAAGGTGGAAGTGAAGTAGTATTGACAAGATAGGGAGGCCTCGCCTGAGTTTCGCCGGACTTGGAACCTGTTTTCGCCGCTCGTCGCTCATCCTCGGTCGTCCTCGTTGCGCTGCTTTTGGGAAGGGGGGGTTTGCTGTGTTCTGTCTGTGACGTAGCTTGACCCGGCATTTTAATTTAAGGGTATGGATGGTGACTTATAAGTCGCCCAACCGTTTGGCGATTTTCCCCTATCATGGTTAAACCCAGCAGTAGATCGGTAAATACTTTTAACCCAGCATTATTTTCGTAATTAATTAATTATTTAGCATTAATTCGAAAAAAACTCGATTCATTGCCACTTCATTGTAATATCTAGTTTTCCTAGGGAGTATTTTATTTATTTTATATTTTATTTTTGGAAAAGTATCAAGTCAGTCCTCAACTAACACCGATAGTGCAAATCACCCCCTTAATTATAAAAATTGCCAATCAAACCCTTCAGGTCGGTGATAAAGTACAAATCACTTTTTCAATAAAAAAAAATCTGCAATCAAATTCTATAACTCGGTGGTATAGCGGAAATAACTTTCCTAGATTGCAAGTCACCGGTCAAAGCTTATGTATGTCACTTATTAAAAATGTTATGCCACATAAAATCATTTATCCACTTGATTTTTAAATTACTTATATTCAGCGGATAAGTAGTTTTGGTCGGGTAGCCTACAGAAACACACTAAGGCAGAATGTCTTTCTGTTACTCTTAGAGCAAGATCTGCTGAACAAAAGTTCACGCTCTTTAGAGTAAAACAGTTCAAATCCTAGATACAAAAAGTAAAAGCAGTGAGTAATGACACCAAGGATTTCGTATGAGTCTTTTAGTTGTACACTGTTTCGCTGAGTGTTTAAGGCAAGGAAATAGTAAGAGCAAGCAAAAAGTTAGAGGCAAAGTGGATGCAATTCTACTTGGAGTCTATATAACGTAATGATTACAACACTTATGTCGAGCGACGCTCCGGCCTCATATATGCAACACTTTGAACTTCAATATGCGGTGCAAATAATGTAAAGATGCACACTGTGAACTTCAATATGCAATACAAATAAAATGCAACACTTTGAACTTCAATATGCAATACAAATAATATGCAACACTTTGAACTTCAATATGCAATACAAATAATGTAAAGATGCATAATTTGTGACAGTTTGTAGGTTAGCATGAAAGGACTAGTTTGTTTGTGATCACATCCCTATATTATAATATATATATACATATATGTATATATATATACAGAGAGAGAGAGAGAGAGTTTGGTTCAAATAAGAACATCATCTAATGAAAAAAATAAGAAAGGATCCTGGCCATTAGATCAACTGATTTTATTTGATAATCACGTGTAGATGTGCAGGTCAAAGATGTCATTGCATATTGTCTTCACTTTCATACGATGCTACCTTCCATGCACATTACTTCCCATTATTTGAATCAATTAATTATAACTTTAATTGTTTTCCTTTTCAGTTACGAGTAACATTCTAATCGGCTAATCATTTCACGTGTGAGGGGCTTGACTTGCTGACTGTCTCTTCTTCCTCAAGAAGTCCGAGCTCCATTAATGGATAAAGGTCTGTTTTTTACTTTTGTTTCGTTTGCTCTTCGATTTTGTTTTGTTTTGTTTGTTGCTCTTTTTTCTTGAAGAAGTTACAATGTTTATTTTTGTTCATGGCGTGTAAAAGCTTTGCAAATATCTCCTGGGTCAACTAAATATGGGACCCCGGAATGTGATGAAACATTAAAACCCAAGGTTGGCATGGTATTCAGAACCCTTGAAGACAGTGTTGAGTTTTATAAGCAGTATGCAGCTTCTTGTGGCTTTGACTCTCGTATTGGTTCTCAAACTAAGGATCGCGGCCGGAGAACGGACACCGTTGTGTGGAAATATGTTGAGTGCAATAGATCAGGTTTCAAAAATTGTGCTAAAGTAAACCAGCCAGAAGCCATCCATGCTCCTACATTTACCGTCGTTAATGATGAACACCCAGAAGCCTCACATGTTGACACAGAGGCTCAATTTTTTTCTAAGCACCCAGAATCCTCCCATGCTATTCCGGACACAAATATTAAAAAGAAGAGGCGGCGGCGGCGTGTATCAAACCGTGTTGGGTGTAAAGCACACATAAGATTAAGACTTGATGGTCTTAATGGATATGTTATAACCTTAGTTGAAGAGCGTCACAATCATCCTATGTCATCTCTTGATGCAATACCATTTCTTAAAGTCAAGAGGAAGCTTAATCTAGGTCATCAGAAGTTTGTTCTCAATCGTGCAAAGGCTAATATTGGAACAATGAAATCATACTGGCTATACAAGGAGTTTGTTGGAGGATATTGCAATATTGGTACAACGGCTGTTGATTTCAATAACTTTAAATGAGATTTGAAGGCATATATTTCAGGTGTGGATGCACAAATGCTAATTGATAAGCTTTTTCGAAAGCAAGAAACTTGTTCAGCATATTTTTTGAGTATGACGTTGATGAAAGTGATCAATGGACACGGCTTTTCTGGGCTGACCCAATATGCAGAAAGAATTATTCCTTTTTGGACATGTGATTTCATTTGATGCTACATATGGGACTAATAGGTTCTGCACTCGTACTAATTAATATCTGCATAATTTGTTTTCACAAGATGCACATTATTATTGTACTTATTTTTGTTTAATTTATACAAAATTAATTACTTAAATGTTGTGTATTTATTTTCGTTTGAGGACATTCCAATTTAGTTTAATAGTTTCATTAAACTAATGTTTCTTATACGCTATCAGTAATTCCAAACATCGGTTTAATTGTTTGACATGGTACTGTTTGCACACGTAAACATTATTATCTTCACAATTTACCAAAATATTTTATTGACATGTAGTTTCAATAAAATGGTATTCATACCTATTATATTATTATACACGAAGATTTATGTTTCTATGCACATGTCCCCTTTGTATTTGTAGCTTGACACATTTTTTTTTGCAGATACAATATGGTTTTTGCACCTTTCACCGATGTCGACAATCACAAAAAATGTGTTACATTTGGTGCAGGTCTTCTATTTAAAGAAGACGTTGAATCATATGTTTGGTTGTTCCGTTGTTTTCTAAATGCAATGGGACATGCACCTAAGTGTATTGTTACTGATCAAGACCCGTCTATGAGGATTGCAATTGAAAAAGTTTTTCCCAATTCTCGCCACCGTTACTGCATGTGGCACATAATGTCTAAACTCAATGAGAAGGTTGGTCCCGTTCTTAGCAGTAATGAGGAATTTTTGTCCAAGTCTAACTCTGTAGTTGGGAGTCACTATCTTTCACCCGAAGATTTTGAAAAGGAATGGATGCAAGTCATTATGG